ACCCGCACCTATTTCACATAGCAAACAAGACTCCCACACTTGATAAAGAAGCGGAGGTTCTGCTGCTTGTCGGGCGAGATATTCCCGCACTGTACAAGGTTCATGAGTCACGCAACGGACCCAGAAACGCGCCTTGGGGCCAGCGGTTGGACCTTGGTTGGGTAGTACTTTGAAATACCTGTCTCGATGGCGCCCACAAACCGGTAGCAATCTCTACTTTCAAGACCCAAGTCCTCTACAACGGTCGACCTTCGCTGTTCATCCCCTGCCCAAACCGCTTTTACCTTAAACACGATACCTCTCCAATAGCCTGGGGCGAGCAAGAAGAAAACACACACCCCATAGGCAGCCCCTTTGACGATGGCCTAGGGCGCAACGTGTTCGTACGAACAAATCGCGACAATAAGCCCGGGATTTCTACTGAGGATCGCAGGTTCCTGAAAATCATGGAGGATGGCATGGAAAAAGAATGAAAACGGAAGCTGGGAAGCTCCGCTGCCCTTCCGACACGACGTCAAGAATCTTCCCAGTAGCCGAGTGAATGCTATGAAACGCCTTACGTCTACACGCCGAACCCTAGATAAAAACCCAATTATGAAGGAACAGTATTTTATCTTCATGCAGAAGATTTTCGGTAACGATCATGCTGAAATTGTTCCACAGGAAGATCTGAGACCAGACAAACTTTGTTGGTACCTGCCTCACTTCGGCGTATATCACCCTACGAAGAAGGACAAAATACGTGTAGTCTTCGATTCAGCTGCTGAATCTAACGGGGTGTCTCTTAACAAGCTGTTATTGTCGGGTCCTGACCTCACTAACAACCTTCTTGGGGTGCTGTTACGTTTCCGTCAGGATCCAGTCGCTCTGGTAGGCGACATTGAGCAAATGTTTCACTCTTTCAAGTTAAAAGAGGAATTCAGAGACTTCCTACGGTTTCTGTGGTACAAGGATAACGACCCAAACGGCGCGATAACGGAGTACAAAATGAAAGTTCATATCTTCGGGAACACTTCGTCACCAGCAGTAGCTAACTACGCCCTACGCAAGACTGCTGAGGTAGGAGAAGCGATGTTCGGTTCAGACGCAAAGTCGTTCGTAGACAACAATTTTTCCGTAGACGATGCCCTCCATTCCGCCCCGGATTCAACCACGGCGATAGATTTTCTACGTCGCACTCAGGCCATGCTAGCCACTGCAAACCTTCGGCTGCACAAAATTGCCTCAAGTCACGCTGAAGTAATGGAAGCCTTCCCGCCTGAAGATCATGCAAGTGGCCTCCACAACCTAGACTTCAACAAAGGCCCTGATCCCGTGCAGTGATCATTAGGAATTTACTGGGACTTGCAGTCCGATTCTTTCACCTTCCAAGTGCTGCTAGAAGAAAAACCATTTACTCAGCGAGGAGTTCTGTCGGTTACCAACAGCCTGTATGATTCCCTGGGCCTTGCAGCACCAGTCATCGTTAAAGGAAAACACTTACTCAGACCACTCTAAACGAATTTAGCGCCTTACACCCCGATGCCTGGGACTACCCTCTACCTGCAGAAAGGGAGGCAGAATGGAAAGAATGGTGTCATTCTCTACGAGCTCTAGAAGATATCAAAGTTCCCCGCTCTTACGGAACAGAAGCATTAAAATGTTCCGCTCGCATTGAACTGCATACCTTCTGCGATGCCTCGGAGATGGCAATCAGCGCAGTATCATACCTAAGAATTGTCCACAACACCTGCCAGGTTCAAGTAGCATTTGTGCTCGGAAAAACCAAGTTGACACCAGCGCATGCCACAACAATACCTCGCTTAGAACTTTCCGCAGCCGTTCTGGGGGTTGAGATGACTGACCTTGTTCACGAAGAACTAGAACAGAAACCTGACTCGGTGACCTGCTACTCGGACAGCATAGTCGTTTTGGGTTACATCTCAAATGAGTCCCGCCGATTTTATGTTTACGTCAGCAACCGCGTGGAGCGCATTCGTCAGCTCCATACCAATGGAAGTAGGTCGCTACCAGTCTGAACCCTGCAGATCTAGCTACACGATCAATCGAAGCAAGTAAATTAAAAGAGAGCACATGGCATAAGGGTCCAAAGTTTCTGTACAACAACCTTACAACTGTCACTAACGATAGGCACACGGACGCAGAAATCTTTCCCGGCGATCCAGCGATGCGCAAAGATTCGAATGTCTTGGCTACTCACGTAGAAGTCTGTTCGACCATTGGCTCAGAGTGCTTCAGCAGGTTTTCAGAATGGTCAAAACGTCAAGGTGCAATCGCAAAGCTGATCACCGTTGCAAGATCAAAGAGTGACACACTCTCGCAGGACAATGTCACTGCCACCCAGTCTTATCATAAAGCAGAGGTTTTCATCATCAAAAGGGTCCAACGGCAAGCCTTTGGCGAAGACATTGAACGCATCAAACGCTTAGGAAAGGTTTCCAGACTGAGCGTTCTAGAGAAGCTGAGCCCCATAATAGACGGAGAAGGAATTCTTCGAGTAGGAGGAAGACTTAACCAAGCAGACCTAGCCAACGAGGAGCGGAACCCCATTATCCTGCCCAGGTCGAGCCACGTCTCATCTCTTCTGATCAGACATTACCACGAAAGAGTACAGCACCAGGGAAGAGTTCTAACGCACGGTGCACTTCGCAGAAGTGGGTACTGGATCTTGGGAGGAAAGAGATTGATTAACAGCATCATTGAGAAGTGCGTGAAATGTAAGAAATTGAGAGGTCAATGCCAGATCCAGAAAATGGCCGACCTACCCGTGGACCGAATTAGTGCCGCGCCCCCGTTCAGCTATGTTGGGCTCGTTGTATTTGGCCCCTGGCAGATTAGCGCCCGGAGGACCAGAAGGGGCCTTGCTCACAGCAAACGCTGGGCCGTACTATTTGCCTGTATGTCAACCCGTGCGGTACACATTGAAGTCATTGAGTCTATGGATACTTCGAGCTTTATTAATGCACTCCGCAGATTCCTAGCTATAAGGGGACCGGTCATCCAGCTTTGCTCAGACTGCGGCACCAACTTCGTAGGAGCATGCAACGAACTTCAAGCAGTGCTAAAACTTTCCGACGCTAGCCCTGTTTAAAGATATCTGCTGAAAGAAGGTTGCGAGTGGCTATTTAATCCACCCCACGCTTCGCACACAGGCGGTGCCTGAGAAAGAATGATAGGCCTGGCGAGACGACTATTGGAAGCCATGTTAGCGGATGTCTCGCCGAAACACCTCACACACGAAGTCTTAACAACCCTGATGGCTGAGGTATCGGCTATCGTCAATGCTAGGCCGCTCGTTCCAGTCTCCAACGATCCAGACGCGCCTGAAGTTTTGACCCCAGCGACATTGCTGACTCATAAGCCACAACACCTGAAACCGCCAGCTGGGGAATTCAGTGCTGCAAACCTGTCACACAAACAATGGAAACGCGTCCAACACCTAGCCGATGTTTTCTGGTAGCGATGGAGGAGAGAGTACCTTCCAATGCTGCAACCACGTAGAAAGTGGCAAAACACGACCCGCAACGTGCAGAAGGGCGACTTAGTCATTCTCCGCTGCAAAGACGCCCCGAGGAACGACTGGCCCTTCGCCAGAGTCACCAGAGCTCAAGCAGACAGTGACGGAATGGTGCGCAGGGTGGACTTAGTAACCGTTCGTGGAGGGTCAAGGAGGCATTATAAACGCCCAGTTACAGAAACCATCCTGCTGCCGTCAATGAATCCAGCTGGATCACTGACACTTTTCCCTCTTTATTTTTTGTCTCACTTTAACGAACAATTTAGTCAGTAGTGGTATTCTTGAATACCAGGCGAGGGGTGTGCCGTCACGCCACTGAACGTTATATAAACAATCATTTTTCTGTTTTGTGATTATTTCCGCTTGAGACGTAGGTTAGTCATTTTAGAGATAATATCTGTCAGAAATCCTTATTATTGGTCAATCTGTTACGCCTTGATTTCCTTTAGCAAAGTATAATAGTCATTGTCTTATTTACTCGCTAGTTTTTTCACTTCAACCCAGCCTATGTAAGTTCTTTCCTTTTTTACCTTATAAAAAGTAATTTCAACTTCGCTGGTTATGCTGCCCTATTTCGGCCAAGACCAAATATCGGTCGAGGTAGCGGAACATTCTTCGTTTTCTGTTTTCTAGAATGAACAAACTCGATCGGGATTTCTTGCCCTCTCTGAAACTACGTGACTTTGCTTTTATCCTATCAGTCCTTACGCTACGGACAAACGGATGCAACAACTCCCAACAGTGTTGCGTCCGTTTGCTTGGGGCTAAAAGTTTTACCTGTTTAAAACTTTGCGCAAGAACTCCCAACAACACCCAACAACATGCAACAGGCTGTGCAAACGACGCAGCATGTACCATGCAACAATTTTGGGAGTTGTTGGCCAACAACGCAAAGATAGCGAGTATCGTGAAGAAGGTCTTTACGGCCAATCTGTGCATTTGTATTTTAGGAGTAAATTCGAGTAACGGAGGTATCACCAATCCAAAGTGTGGGGATGGCTATAGCGTTCCTCCAAATCAGGGTGCCTCGTTCTTCTGTCGTCCAAGTTTGTTTGGAAGATACGTCACCATACGAATACCTGAAAGGACAGAGGCACTAACTTTATGCGAAGTTGAAGTTTATTCCGCACGAAGAGGTAGAAAACCACCCTGGATTAGAGTAATGCACTATGCTTTGGTATTTACATAGGATAGAGCAAAAATATTGTGCGTACTTTTTTCCAGATTTTTTTTTAATCCTTAAAAGACAAAGAAATTATAGGCGAATCTTTGTTTACATTTCTGCTTCATTAACATATGGCTATCATTGTTTGATGAAGCTAGTGAAATAAAATCTCTGATCAAAAGACCGTACCAAAATTTGAGCCCCATTAATCGAATAACTTTGGTGAAATTATCGTTAAAAATTCGAATTTTTACAAAGAATATGTGAGCTCAAATAGTAAACATTTTTGCCACCCAGCAATTTCGCCGATTTTGATTGTTGCTATTTCCTTTTTTAATACTTGCAAAGAGCTGAAAAGTGCACAAACTACAAACAATGTAAGCAATGACGTCAATAAGGAAAAAAAAGCAAACTAACAAACAAGCAAGCAAACTGAGAAGCAAACATGTAGTACTCACATGTCAACGATCAGACAGGAACCAATTTCATGCTTATGCTGGGATATGGCTATCCGGAATTATTTTGCCTGGCAGTAAAACAGCACAATATAGGTGCAGACATATTTAAAAAAATTTTTTTATAATTTATTTATTATTTTAATGTTCTCTCTGTCTCACGGATTCTGACATATTAGTACTGAAATTACGGTATACCCAGGTCAGTGTACAGGCCGCCCTGCAACATTTGAACGAACAGGATCAAAACAGAAGGGCTGTCAAAAAAGTTTTTAAGTAGCAGGCTGATAATGAATAGTAGGTGGCTTTGGAACTCGCACCAAAGGCACAAGTTCTTGAGGACCGAGGCATCTAGGGACATTTTGAAATTTAGTGTCTCGGAAAATTTTCAGGGGTTTTCAAGAGGAATTTTCCACCGCGCACGCCATGTTGTTTTGTCAGAATACACGCAAGACTAAGAATAATGCCGTTGAAATGTCCCAGGCGTTCCACGACATCGCACGGTTCGAACATTTCACAGATCTAAACCTGTTTAAATATGTGTTCATAGTCATTCAAAACTGTGGAACGTATGCTTTACAATTTTATCCGATGGTGCCTATTTTTTGTCAGCAGTTACGGTAGGAGGAGATGAAAATAGCTGGCTAAGGATGGCTAACTAGCTGGGGGTTTGGCGGGCTACCGGCCCTGGTTGACAGCCCTGAACACAGGAGCTCCTAAATACATTGAAAACACTTTTTGGGCTATCCAGAGTAATTTTAGATCTCTAGAAATGCATTCTTAAATTTGTATCTGTTCGGTCATCCTAGGGCAACTTAAATCTTTTCGCCATTATTAAGGCTTCAGTATTACTTTCCCGAAAATTTTAGATGTAATTTAACGTTTTTACGAAAGTTAGAATTTTTCTAATTCCTCTCTTCATGGCACTTTTGAATCAGAAAATTTTAGGTTTCCTTTTTACACGATAATTAGCTAAACCTGGGGAGTGAAATGTGAATTAATTAAACTTATGAAAATTCTAGGGAATTTGTTAGGTAAGCTTCGAAAATTGTACATGAATGGAACAGTCACCTAGAAATTTTAGCCGTCCTCAAGAAATAGAAAATTTTAGTCAATATTTGCTTCTCCGAACAGATATTTTACAGAAAACAGTCGTTGGGTGCCCCTGTGAACAGGAACAAAATTTTCTTCTTGTCCCAAACGAAAGCTAAAAATTTTTGTAGGTCAAGGGAATCGAATCAATTGAGCTTCAGTGCTCAACATAAACTGCAGGAGTTGGTAATTAAACAAAGCTGAAAGTGGCTACACGTCACGCTATTTCCTATCTTCTTCAAAAGGTAAAAATTCTTTCATATCAGTTGAATTTCAAAAAAAAATAACACTCCAGCGTTGTTATTTAAGGCTTTAAATTTAAGTTTCTGCAATTTGATTGGCTCAAAGCAGTGGTATTTCAGCTTAATTTGAAATATCTACATATGAAAATTACAAAACTTTTGCGGGTAATAGCATAAACAAATAATAGCATAATTTGTACATGATATTTCAAAATTGTCTCAAATTTCAGTCGCCTAACGGCTCGTGAAATTACGTATAACAATTTCGAAATGTCACTCGTGGTATTTATGCCAAATATCACTACCAATCTTGCCATTACCTATACATATTTAGGCATAGATGGAAAGGCGGGGCCAACTTTTTCAAGTTTTAATACTAATGCCTGCAAAAGTCACCGAAAACATTATTATGGTTGGTGCTCCCTAATGGAATTTGTTGAATGAATAAATTAAGAGTCGTAGATGAGAGGACAGCAGACGTCCCCTCTTACATTATATTTTAACATGTGAACAGTAAGGTCGGACGTCAGCACATATGATATCTCATATGATATCTTCTTCATGATTCTACAATGTGTACAGGGTTCTGTCTGGGATTTATCGTTTGTTGGAGAAGTCCCGAGTGGCCGAAGGTCACGAATTTCCTAGGGTGATCCGGGGGCATCTCCCACCCGGAAATTTTTTCACAGGAATATGCGCTGAGCCTGAGATGAGCTACCATTTTGAGAAATGTTATGCTGTGTGCACTGGCCTAGTCGCGTCTAGATTTTTTTCCGATATAGTTACTTATAGACTGTGATGATAAAAATATTGTTTTTTGGGGGGTGGGGGGGGGGGGGCTGGGCATTTTTTTTTGGGGGGGGGGGAAGCTTCTACCCCTCAAATACCCTAGGTAGAACCCTAAAACCCTTACACAGACGTTGTTTCATTTTTCTTTTTGTTCTTTTGGAAAACATTGGCATGCGCGAGAGCGAGCGAGAGCTTCCCCCACCCCTACCCCTTTGTGCCGGCGGTCAATAAATTCCCCGTGGTTTATTTTTTTTATCACGCGCGCTCGACGGACTTTGAATGGAAAATAGAGGGTCTGTGAACAGGCTAACTAAGTGTAAGCACATCATCATTTTCTGCCGGTCTAAACCCACGCGCTACACCCGGGCGGATACCCCTTGAAATACTATTAATAGATCGACTAGACCCTTAATTTAAAAACCACAAAAACAACAACTTTCGATATGTAAAGAGGATATGTCAAGAAATTCTGCTGTTTTAGGTCAATCCTGTTTTGAAGTCACAAAGCAGTGGATTGCCCCGGAGCTAACAGAAACGTTGTGTACACAGGAACCCGGTGCCCACTTTAGTGCCCGAGTACAAGGTCTTGAACTACGGGAACGCTGCCTTTAAGGAGCTGTGTCATGGCTGTTTACTTCCTTTTGTTTAAAATGCCAGTTACGCGTCGTTGTTCGCTTTAAAACTCGGGAAATTACCTGTAAGTGACAAAATCACAGTTTTGCGTCAAAAAAAAATGTCTGCCAAGCATCATATCAATCGTTACAAACAGCAATAACTGAACAAGTTTGCAAAAACCACAATTTGTATCTCATTCAATCTTCAAGTTTGTCCATCTGTTCTTCTTTTTGTAGTGTTACTTTGTCATTGATACCATCTACCTTTTTGAGCAGTTATTTGTCAGCAATGTTTCTTTCAATTTGGTGGCGGTACCCAACGTTTGAATTTTGATAAATTTCGCCGTGACACAGCTTCTTTAATCAGAGCCTTAAATATAAATTCCTGAAAAAGTCTTGAAGTTTGCAGAGCAATTTTCCAGACCTGTAAAACTTCTGGAAAATAGGGTTAAAATCCGGAAAAATGGTAAAAAGTTTGGGTGTTTTTTCTCTTTTTCAAAGCGACATAAAGTCCTTAATAAGTGATGTTTTTTTCCATGGTCAAATCCTATTCAATCTCGCTCGTAGCCAAGACATTCAATAACAGAATATTCTCTTATGTCCGCAGTGCACCGTGGTCACTGTAGGTTTGCAGTGCATCATGAAAAATGTTTGAATCCTCCTTTTTTCAAGGTCTTTATCGATCATCTACAGTCGAACCGCCATGTGCGACCACCTTCTGTCAGCGACCACTTGACGCATACTCTGCTCTCTATGTTCGCTGTATGTACCGTGCTAGTTAGAATATAGTGACAGCAGGGAACTACACATGACGTAACTTAGACATTGCATGCAATAAATATCTTCCATAAAGTAGGTGTGTCTGAACATAACATAACATAACGTAAAACTTTATTTATACTCGAATTTTAGAGTAGCTAACAAGCTAATATCTTCAAGCTGACACTAGGTAAAAACTATATAGAAAATATATATATACTTTAAATGCAAGGAAAGAAAATATCATTTACAATTGACAATTTTAAGTTTAAGTATGTCAGGCAAAAAGAATCTACATGAAGGTAGCATCCTGTAGTTTAGTCTTAAAGTCTGCAAAAAAACTGGTACGAAAAAAGTCCGGCAGTGCATTCCACTGCTTAGCTGAAAAGTAAGAAAAGGAGTTAAAACCATAGGTAGTTGTTCTAGGTTTACTTAGTGAAAGAATGTAGTTGCCAGGAAGATCATAGGAAGAGGACCGGAGTGAAAACATATTCTTCATATAAGTAGGAAAATGAGTGAAAAACAAACTCTTATATAACAGAATGAGGAAATTTTGAATGCGTTTGTTAAACAAAGAAGTAGAGCTGACTTTTGAGAGAAGAGTGTTGTATGGAGACGAGTAATCTCCAAGTATAAATCTAAGTATTCTTTTATTTAAAGCTTCAAGCTTATCCGCATCGCGCGCTCCACAAAAGTGCCAGACAGAGGAGCAATAATAAAAGGGAGGTAAAATATACGCTTTGTAAAGTTTGAATAGATTTCCTTGCGTATGTGTTTTCTAAAGCGCAACATAACATTAAATTGATTATTAATCTTTTCGCATACATTCGATATATGTTTAGAAAAACTCAGTTTATTATCTATTTCCATTCCAAAAATCTCTAACGTGTAATCTCTTCTTGGAAGAGGCCCCATGTGCTTCAATTCTTGTACGTGACCACTCAGTCTGTTCGACTGTATTTGATAACTTTGAGTCTGGAAAAAAAAACTATTGGTTTGGAATTATGTCTGATAAAGTCTTGAATTTTGGATCGAAAAATCAGTACGAACTCTTGTTAATGTACACAGAGCTTAACCGTAATTAGAACCAACCTTGGGAAGCAATTCCCCATCCCCTCGGAAATTGCCTTCTCTTGGACCTCCTCTCCCCTCGGAATTGTCCGTTGCCCTCCGTGGAGGGAGTTGGTGATAAGAATATTATCTGGAACTACACATTACATTTTTTTCGGTGATTATTCTAGGCACCGCATTACAACTTGAAAAATTTGGCCAAACATTTTCAAGTTTCAGTTTACGTCCACTTTTGCCATCCGTTGCAGTAGAAGACAGGAACAGTTTCAGAACCTGAATACAGCCCTGAATAACAAAAAATGGACCATTAATCTTTGAATTCAATTGAGCAAGGACACGTTTGAACATTTGAAAAACATAGCAAAGAGCGTGAGGTAGCCCCTTTAATCTTAAACATGATACTTACTTAGGGACGATGATATAACAGAAAAAAATCTACTCACTCTTGTCCTCGGAAGGTTCAATCAACATATGATTAAGTTATAAATATCCTTTTTTAGCGTGCCAAATCCAGGCTATCGGTCTGGCCAGCAGTGACGCTATCCCAGACAACAGTTTCTCTGCCTCGACTCATCGTTCTGGTAATGAAGCTTCCAAAGGCCGTCTAAACGGAAATGGCGCCTGGTCACCTAGCGGAAATAGTGATGACAACGACTACTTACAAATTGACCTGAAAGACCAGTTTTTTATCTGCGCCGTAGCCACTCAAGGTTCAAGTGCCAATCACTGGACAAAAAAGTACAAATTACGTTATTCGGTGGACAACTCAACCTGGTTAACTTATCAAGAAAACGACACTGACAAGGTGTGTTTGTACACAAGAAAACTTGCAACGCAATTAGAGCTACTTAATGGGCCATTTCCGAGTTGCTCCAAGCCTCTGTATCAAAGCAAGGCTAAGTGCGAAACTGTTGATACGAAAATAATTATCTCCTGAGAATACTCTTTCTCTCAAGAAATACTTGTTTTGAACACCGGTAATAGCGAAATAACTGAAAGCCTGCTCAACAGAGAACCTGTTTTTTTACCAGTAACTCACCAATCTTACTCAGACCCCCTGGAAAAAAAAACCTCTGTAAGCAACCCCCCCCCTGGAAAAAAACCTCCGTAAGCAACCCTCCACCCCCTCGGAAATTGTCTCCTTTTCAGGGGCACCCAACGAGAATATAGTTCAAAACCACTCAAACAGCATTTTTAAAAACCTTTTAGTATTTAAACGGTAGTTATAGGCATATTTTTATCCCCTAAAAATTTTTCATCTGTTCGGATTTCCTAGCTGAAAGTCTAATTATCCGAAAGTTATAGGAATCCAAACTTACCTTTCCGAAAATCCCAGCCAGAAAAAAGGTTACCAAAAATTCTTGGTGACCTTTTAAGGACAAAAATCCGTTAAAAATGGGCAATAATACCATTAGATGTTCGAAAATGCTAGGAGAGGCAGGCAAGCAAGAAATTTTGCAACAAATGTTCCGAAAATTCTAGATCTCAAATCGTCTTCCGAACAGATATTTTCCGAAAACTGACGTGGGTGCCCCTGTCCTTTTGGAAGTTTGTAGTCGTGCATAATAACCATAGTGAAAAAAGCGCGCTTCGTCGAGTTTTGTAATAATAATTGCTTGCTCTGAGGACATCTACGGTCGTTATGTCATCCAAAACTGTGACCATGATTACCTCCACCCGCTATTTGCGATTAAGCAACATTTGGCAAGCAAGCAGAGTATATTATGGATTCCAAAAATGAGGATTACAGTCAAGGCAGGTCAAACGTACGCCCCAAGGTTCTATTAAGGAATTGATTATTTGTAAAATGAATCCGTTTGTCGTTCCCGTTATTAGTGCCAAATTAAAATCGGCATTTCTGCACGCGCAATGAGCAGTGAATATTTTACGAGAACTTCTCTGTATTTGGTGAGACGGAAAATATTTCAGTGGATTAAATTTCTTAGAAGACGTTGAAATCAAATTCAGGGAACCTGAGCTGGTAGAAATGTCTTAACTGCCTGGCGTATGAATTCACGGCCACACACACATGCAAGAATGCGAAGATGAATCTGAAATCTACAACTACCGACGGATTCAACCTTCGAATAATAAATTCATTAATGGAATCTTAGGGGTACGCTTGACCTGGCTAGGCTGTAACCGTTTTCATAGTGCCCATAATACACTCTGTTAAACCGGGATTTTTTTTCTTAATTTCCCTTGGGACGACCCAAAGAAAAATTGTATGACCATGGTTATAAATATTTTTTTTGGATTGGGGGTAGTGGGAACAAGATGTTTATGGTCAATGTGAAGAAAGTTAAATTGGAAGGATTTTATATAAAAATACAAAAAGAAAAAATTCCGCGGTTACACGAGACAACTTTTTCTAGGCTAACTGATGTTAGGTTTACTAAGGGAAAGTTGCGTTCTACCCACCGGTTAAGCTAGTTGATCTGAAAAAAAAAAAAATTGCTAAGGTAACTTTTGCACCAAAAAAGAGCAGCTTTAGAACCTATTTCCTTAGTCTAGTGGTTACATTTAATTTACAACAATGTTAACTGTTTGCAGATCTTTAACGCCAATGACGGGGAGGGTGATATCGTCAAACACAGTCTGGTTGGAAAAGTTAGAGCAAGGTTCATTCGCTTTCATCCAACAGAGTTTGAAGCTGAAAAAGCTTTAAGAGTAGAGGTGTATGGAATACTCACAACAACAGGTAAATTGTGTATAGTGTAGTCTGAAATGTCAACCCACTCCCCTAACCCCCATTACTCGTCGGTTTTGTAAAAATAGTGCTTGGGACAGTTTGAGAAAATAATGGTCGACGTTCGGTCTCCGTCTAAGAGAAATCTGGCACAACTGTGTAATGTGCACGTGGTAGTGACAACCTTAAAAGCGTTCGAATATAGTTGAGGATATCGCCGTACAATCACAGACTAATAGCGAAGTAAAGTGAAGCTTACTCACAAGGCCTATTTAATATGATTTATATGGATTGATTGGAGCATATCGGTGCATATACTTTCCCAGAAATTTGCCCCAACTAGGTCATTTTTTGAAAGTGGACATTTTTCATCTTCTTCTTTCTTGAGATTAGTTTTTGTGACCACAAGTAAAAATTAATTGTTGCTTATTACCAACTATTGTTTTTAGTTAGTTTCCGTGGATGTCGATAAGTATTCTCTCTTGAAGCATTATGACACACTTTTTAGTAAAAATGCTATTTCAATGCATTGATGAAAGCTATTAATTGAGTTCCTACTGTTGGTATTTCTCTTCAGTCAAGTACCCTTTCTTTATTCTTCCCACAATCCATAGGCCCTCTAACAATATATGGTAAATAATAGGTAGATTTTTCATTATCCAGATTGAGAGAAACACATCTTTAGTAACGTTCTTTCGGAGCGTTGATAAAAGCTGTTGAGCTCTTGTCGGTGTTGTTGTTATTGTTGTTGTTGTTTTTTTTTCTTTAAAGTTCCCTCTCTGCTTTTCTTTCATGTTTTCTTCCCACACTGAATCTCTAGGTCCTCTAACAATATACAGTAAATCATCATCCAGATACTTACTTTTCTTCTAGCGCCAAGCCGTGCTCCCACAAGCTTTATAGTGACCCCTGCCTCCTCCACCAGTGTTCAAGCATCCTGGCAGTTACCAACGGTAGACTTCCAGGCGATTACAGGATTCAGGCTCCTGTACAGAAACTTAAGCTCTGTTGAGGATCCACTTACCGTCATAACCATTGAAGGCTACTCTACCCTTAGCCATGAAGTCACTGGACTTGGGATATTCACAAAATATGAATTTCAAGTATTAGCTTTTTCAATTATGGGTGATGGACCGTCAAGTGCCGTTAAAACTGTGAGAACTAACGCGGAAGGTAAGTATTCACCGTGGAGCTATTTCTAAGTGCTAGCCTTTTTTGAGGATACCGACGATAATCAATTTATGTTGCTCTTTCTCAGAGATTGAAATTATCGCTCGCCCACTCCCCAGTGCGAGTGTGAAGGCGCCTCGGACGATTGGCAATCGTTGATTACTCGCCCGATTACGTCTTCAATCCTGCCTTCTATTATAATACTCTATTTATCTCCATATCTGTTTTGTCGTTTTATCTATATCGCTGTTGGGAACAGATGATCAAGGTAGAATCTGTCTTGAATTTTTAGGGAAGGATTGTTTTTTAAAATGCCTTTATATGGAATATTTTTTTAGGATAGATAAAGGCATAGTAATAATTATTGTTTTCTGGTGCAGGTTAAGGTCGTTGCATTTTTTTTTAAATCTCTGCGGGATTGACAAATTTAGATAATCGAAATGCATCCTTGTTGTTGTAGTCAAATGCCATCATCCTAAATATGGCCTTTTGACTTCTCGTTTTCAGCCCCTTCACAAGCCCCTGCGAACCTGGTTGTGACTGTCAACAACTCGACTAGTGTTTTAGCGAACTGGCAACTTCCCCCCGGGATATCCCAAAATGGAGTTATTTTGGGATTTACACTGTACTACCGGATAAATGGCACCTCTGGTCAAGCGAACACTGTCACTGTTCACGATGGAACAGTTCTCTCTACAACGATCACGGGACTGGCGAAATTTACAGGATACGAATTCCAAGTGTCCTCATTCACTAACGCTGGGGACGGACCGAGAAGCTCTGTTGTGACGGAGAGAACAAGTGAAGATGGTAAGACATGTACAGTCAATGTAAGAATGAAAACACGTACATGTACATGAACGATCCTTTCGGCTAAGCTTATATGCGTTAGGCTAAGAATTCTCAGTTCTCATACTTGAAACATCGTTTGCCTGAGGAAACACCCCACATTTCCAACGCCACGACAGGATTGCCCAACGAAATGACGTCTCTGAGGAAAGAGCGCAGAACTTCCATACTGATGACAGTGCTTCGGATTGATTGAAATTTTGCTTTAACCAATCAGAAACACTGCGATCAAGTTGATGTATTCAATAAGTTATTCCTTGACACGCTGAGTGAACATGCACCAATTAAACGTATGGCGATCAAATCACGCCCGAATCCGTTTCATCACACCTGAGATCAAACAATTGATGAAAACCCATGAGTACCGGCATAAAAAAGCGATGAAAGCAAACGACAAACTCCACTGGAACGCTTTTCGATTTTTTATACAGGAAGTTGTGAATATCCCAAAGGAATTGTAGTAAGTTTCATCGGTATCTTTGTGCCCAAAAGAACTTTCCATGATAAAGAGTTATCTTTATCTTTGTCGAATGTAAGTATTATTACGACCTCTTTGTTTATTATAAAATTTTTGAATGTTTCTTTTTCTTGATAGCACCCAGTTTCGGTCCAGATACAGTTTTCACTACTGAACTAAATGAAACAACATTCAACATTTCATGGGCTCCTCTACCAACGGAGAAGAGCAACGGGATAGTCGTTCTCTATGAAGCAAATGCGGAGTTGGTACCCACGAGAGGACGCTCACGGCGAGCAGTTGCAAGCAGCAAAGGAGTCAGTACAACAGAAACCTTTGCTGTTTTTTATGATTTCCTCACTTGTTCCCAGTACAGTATCTCTGTTCGGGCTTTTACGGCCGTTGGACCTGGACCCTACGGCACGGCCACACTGCTACAGACATCAAGTAAGTAGTCAGAGTTACCCCAAGCCTCTGTTTCAAAACGAGGCTAATTGATAAACCTTTCTTGTGAAAATAAGTTTTCTGTGCATGAGAATAGAAAATCATTGTCACATCAATGGCTTCGCGCTTAGTCTCGTTTTGAAACAGAGGCTTGGAGTAACTCGTAAATGGCCTGTTATATACCAAAAATACATTATAAAAATATATTATTTGTTGGGAAATAAGTTTTCTTTTTTCCAATAACTTAACCACTTTTCCCATGATGCAAGGAGAGGTAGGGAGCATGGAATTAAGGATGTGTTTTTACAGCTGATTTCAGTGCGGTGTATACACCCTGATTTTTAGACATGACTCGACGGTCATGATTCGACCGTCATGATTCGACCGAGAGGTTACCAAGCAGTATAGTATTTTACCTTGAATATCCTACAGGAATCAAAGCATACAATCTGAAAGTTACTTTGATGATAGCTTGAATATTTCTCTTGTAATTCAGAAAAAGAGGACTGTGATCCATAATTTGTTCTCCTTTTCCGGGATAACAGCTTCTCATACAGTCACGCAATCTAATCGCAATACATGTTATCGGGCGTGTGGACGTCTCGATCAATAATTTTTGTCGGCTCTTTTCTCAACTTGTTTTGGGCTTTTACCTTGATCTTTAAGGAAATATCATATTTTACCCTTTTCCAAAAAAAAAAACAAATTTTGCTTTCTTTTATGTATGGTTTTCTTTATTTGTGCTTACTAGGGTCATAGGTCGAGGATCGAACATTGTGATATTTTTCAACAGTCGACAAAACAAAACTTTCAAACCCTCCAGCAAATTCTTTCACAACGGCAGACTGATCAATTTATCTGTTGATTTCTTCGCCAAAACGTCAAGGTTTCCTGTTATTTTTTAACCATGCAGAAGCTAAGTAAGGACGAAAAAGTACCAACTTGAAGAAATACAAATTTGCCTCCCTGTTAACTAAATTTGCATCACTGTTACATGTAAATTGCGGGTGGTATTCACCAACGGCAAAACACCGAAACCTTGTCATACGGAAGAAGACTAACGATTAACCGTCGGACTATTTCGCTTTTCGCTGTGTTGATAATATTTCGTCCATTATGAAATCGCCTACAGAAATACATTCGGACTCGGCAATCGAACTCCAGGTTTATCACCTGATCAAATGTTATCATAATTTCTGTATCATGTCGCTGCTTTCCAAGCAACAAAGCTTTCCTCTTCAGGTAAAACGCATTTGTCGGGATTCTAGCTTCGTTACACTTATGTCCTTTAGTGCTAAGCTTTCCAGCCAGATTTTTCTCTCACTGTTTCGGATCCCACGGCAGAACTCTCAATTATTTTCGCGACCGTTTACGTACTGCGAAGCGATACGTCACGTGATTAGTGTCGAATCATGACAGGTCGAATCATGACCGTCGAATCATGTCTGAAAATCCGGGTGTATACATAGCAATGAAATCAGCTGTAAACTTTTATTCCAAGAAGTTTATTCCAGGTAGTTTATTCTTTTGCCCAAAAGTACGATTTTCTTGGATGATTTTCGCTCTCCCTTTTAGAACATCTAATCATCAGATTGTAGAAAAAAAAAAGAATTCAATGAATTTTCCTTTTAAGCTTCAATTAGTATCTGAATTCAAATTTTGGATTAACCGTGGGTTCTCTTAACTAAACTTAAACCCAGCCATGGCGGAGACTGCGTCTTTCGTAAAGCACTCCATTATGCAGCCACCTATTAAGCGGCCAGTAATCAAAGTCCCGAAATAATTGTAGAATATAATAATAATAATAATAATAATAATAATAATAATAATAATTCCGAGAGGTCTCGGGATGAGACTTGACTGGATATTTCTCCCCAAGTAAAATCCCTGTGCTAAATTTTACATAATAATAATAATAATAAGTAATGTTAACAGGACTGAGTGGAGTCCAATTTGGTCTGTAATCATACGAGTGATTAATGATTGTTTAATCACGAGTATGATCACAGACCGAATTAGACGACACGAAGTTCTGTTACTAGTTAATCATAACTTTAACAAAATTTTGTGATATAGAAGGCTCTTTTTCAGACAAGAAATTCCAAGATTTTTTTGCTAGCAGTGAAAAAAAAAAAACATTTAAGCGCGCGCGTGATGGCGTGTACTATCTAATTACTTAGGTATGACACGTACTGTCCAATTAAACTGTTTTAGGAGGCACTGTGGCCGAGTGGTTAGCGCGTCGGACTCGCAATCCGTTGATCCCGGGTTCGAGTCCCACTCTGTCGACTTGCTGGATTTGTTGTCGGTAGTCCCGAGTTCAAATCCTCGGCCACGCTTGTAAATAGCCAACTGGTTGCCTATTGCTAGTTGGGGTTTCAAATCCTGTTATGTTGTATAATTTTAAATTATTAGTTTTTAAGTATTTAAGTGGGGTGCCTGTAAACTAGCTAGATAAGCTAAGTGCTCTTTCCACTATATAAATACACAACAACTCTGTTTGGGGTTCTCTGGGTCTTTATTGCCTAGACTATCGCGTGATACCCTCAGGGAGGGAGGGATGGGACAAGAAAAGCTGACAATCTTGTTCAACGCGTCAGCTGGCTAGAATCGCATAATGACTCACACATGGCAGCAGCTTGCATATATACATGGGCTTGGCGCTGAACTTCCGTCACATGTATTTAATCCTTATAAACAGGTTTATCACTCACTAAATACACAACAACTCTCTTTGGGGTTCTCTGGGTCTTTATTGCCTAGACCATCGCGCGATACCCTCCAAACCCTCAAAGAGAGAAAAGGGGGGTTAGTGAGTGATACCCTGGCTCATCTGTTTAACAGCCTCTAATTTGTAGCGTAGTGAATGGTCCAAGTAACGTTCATATACAGTCGATTTCTAGTCGCCTTGTAGCTTAATATAATCGCTAGGCACGCCACAATGCAAGGCAAATAAAGCACCCCCTGCCTGAAGGAGTGTCCAGAGAAACGCGAGCTATCGTAGCCGCATAGATCCAATATTCGTTTCAGTTTAGTTGTGAATGTGGTATATGTCAGTGTTTTAAGGACACCGTCCTCTGGGTAAGTAAAAGCAGGTTCTGAAGCAGATTTGTTACTTTGATAAACACCGGCAAGCTTGAAAGCGCGAGTTACCGCTGACCAAGGACACAAAAAGGAGTGAGCAATCTGTGGAACTGGAACCAGGAGAGTGCGATCTCGGTATTGGATCGTTTTGGACCAACGAACAACAAGAATCATGCCCCACGGGAACAATCGAACATCACACTTCCGCAGGTGGCGCTTGTTGTCAAATTCCTTGGTGGAAGGTGGCAGTAAGTTTGACTTACGAAAGAAAGAGAAAAACGCGACCAAACATGCCGCCCAAAAGGTGGCGTCAAACGAGGAGTCAAGATGTAAATGGCATTACATTTTGTGAAGAACATCGGGTGTAATAGGTAGCTTTTGCGTCACACGTTCTCCATTAATTCGCTTTATGCCTCTCATGAGGAGAGTTTTCTGATGCCTGAATAAGGGGTCTTCAAGAGGGTTAGGGTAGCCATACTGCAGGTGCAAAAGACGGACAACGTTGAGATGCTTGGGAATGCTGCGAGTAGAGAGTGTTCGTGCGAGGAAGACAATGTAACGGGGGAGGTGAATAGCGCGACAGGGAACTGGGGATGCTCGTAGCTGCAAATTATAACTTGCTGCTGTGGATTTGGCAAGGGCATGGTTACGGTACATTCTCAGTTCTTCCTGTAGTAGCTGCTCCTGAGTATGGACTGCACCTGCCAGGGGAGAGAAGGCTTACTGTGAGACCTGAGCTCGTTGGCGGTCGAACGCTAGAGGGAGGTTGTGGAAAAGTTCCTTTAGCGTTCTGCAGAATTCAGGGTCATGAAGGCGTGAGATGGCATCGGCAACGGTGTTAGCCTTTGAAGAGATTTAACGAGCGGTGATTCAAAAATTGTCAGTTGCCGAGAACCCGAGCGTAACCATTGCATAACTTGGGGGTTGCGACTTATGCCTTTGTTTAACGCGCTTATTGTCGTCTGGTTATCAGTGTGGACAACAATCCATTTGTCACACAAGTACCATTTCCAGCGGTGTAACGCTAGGAAAACTGTAAAGGTTTCTTTGAGGTTGATATGCGTGTCTGTTAGATCAGGATGATCAGTAGCCCAGTTGGTGTAAAACCAATCACCCTGAAAGAACCCTCCTAATCCGATAGGACAAGCATCGGTAGAGAATTCTTCCAAAGCGGTTGGTGTTGAAGGAACAAAGAACGCTTGCCATTAAAGACGCTTAGAAAACTCGCCCACCATAATAAATCGGCTCTTAGGCAGGTGTTAATGATCAGTGCACTTTCCACTATAAATAAGTCTTTTATTAAGGCTGGAATCAGGGCAGATTTGAGAAATTTGTTATTAATAAAAAATACTACTACTACTACTACTACTACTACTACTACTACTACTACTACTACTACTACTACTACTACTACTACTACTACTACTACTACTACTACTACTACTACTACTACTACTACTACTACTACTACTACTACTACCACTACTACTACTACTACTACTACTACTACTACTACTACTACTACTACCGCCGCCGCTGCTACTACTACTACTACTACTGCTACTGCTACTGCTACTGCTACTGCTACTGCTACTGCTACTGCTACTGCTACTGCTACTGCTACTGCTACTGCTACTGCTACTGCTACTGCCTACTACTACTACTACTAGTACTACTACTAGTACTACTACTAGTACTACTACTACTACTACTACTACTACTACTACTACTACTACTACTACTACTACTACTACTACTACTACTACTACTACTACTACTACTACTACTACTACTACTACTACTACTACTACTACTACTACTACTAGTACTACTACTACTAGTACTACTACTAGTACTACTACTAGTACTACTTCACCATTTCAAATCTCTGCATTCTATTGACCCGACGAATTCCACGCATGAACATGAAATCCATAGGGAACTAAATTCTTTAGAACACGAAAAGGAACAGTTTAACCATCTCGATTATGAGATAACTGAGAGGGAAATACGTCAAGCGGCGAAGAAATTGAAAAATAAGAAATCACCATTTGTTAACAAAATACCAAATGAAATGATCAAAGCAAGCCTCGAACCACTAATGCCTGTCTATGTCAAACTTTTTAACCTCATTTTACAATCCGGAAAAATGCCAGATGTTTGGTGTCAAGGCCTCATAACCCCAATTTACAAATCTGGTGACAAGAGTGATCCAACAAATTACAGAGGCATATGTGTTTCTAGTTGCCTTGGAAAACTGTTCTGTTCTATTTTAAATCGAAGACTTCACTTGTATTTTGAGGAAAATAAGATATTACATAATTCCCAAATTGGCTTTTTGCCTGAAAACCGCACTGCAGACCATGTTTTCACTCTAAGGACCCTAATAGATAAATATGTGCATTATCACAAGGAAAAAGTCTACGCTTGTTTCGTAGATTTCCGCAAAGCGTTTGACTCTGTTTGGCACGAAGGATTGTTTTATAAGCTGCTAAAAACGAATATAGGAGGAAACTTGTACAATCTCATGAAAAGTCTTTATTGCAACTCGACATGTTCCATCAAAATCGGTGAAAACAAAACACAGCCTTTTTCATATTCCAGAGGTGTACGTCAAGGCTGTATTTTAAGCCCTCTTTTATTTAACCTCTATTTAAACAATCTACCACTTTTATTCGAAAACACCTTATCTGACCCATTTGTTCTCCCAAATGGGAAAAAAATAAATTCACTTTTCTACGCAGATGATTTAGTTATTCTATCAAGATCGAAAACTGGATTACAGAACTGTTTAAATGCGCTTTCTTTGTACTGTGACAAATGGAAGCTAAAAATTAATCCGAAGAAAACAAAAATTATGATATTCCAGAAACGCCCAAAAAAATCTATTGACATCAAATTAAATATAGGCAGTGAGTCAATTGAAATTGTCCAAGAATACACTTATTTAGGTACACGTTTAACTCCAACGGGAAACTTTACACTTGCACTCGAACACTTAAAAGAAAAGGCCCTTCACGCGTTTTCTAGTATTCGGAAGCGGACAATTCTTAACAAACTTAATCCTAATACTGCATCCCAAATTTTTGACACCATGGTATTCCCAATCTTGAGTTACAACAGCGAGGTATGGGGGATGTACACCAAGCAAGATTTTAAAAAATGGGATAGCTCCCCAATAGAAAAAATCCACCTCAAATTCTGTAAACGTTACTTAGAGGTTAACAATAAGGCCTCTAACATAGCCTGCAGAGCTGAACTTGATAGACTGCCGCTGCTTATCCCGATAAATCAGAAAATTATGAAATATTTTGTTTACCTCAACAACAAAGATAATGACTCTATAGTCAAACAGTCTTTCCTTATGTCAAAGAATCTACATTCTATGAATAATTCCGGATATTTTTCCAATTTCATAAACATGCTTGAACAATACAATCTAACCAGTTTAGATGCTGAATCTCTACATAATGATAAAATTAGACGATATACCACAAAAATGAGAGAGAAATATCTATCTTTTTGGCGGCACAGCCTCGAAAATTCAAAAAAACTAGAATTTTATAAAACTTTTAAAGATGAATATTCTACATCTGATTATCTCTACCAGCTAAGACATTATGACGAACGACAGAATTTTGTTAAATTTAAAATAAGTAATCACAAACTTATGATTGAACATGGTCGATACCAAATCGATCATTTGCCAAGAGAAAATAGATTATGTCCTTTATGTAACTCAAATCAGGTAGAAGATGAGATTCATTTCCTCTTTCAATGTAACAAATACTCAGTACAGAGACAGGCATTTATTAATCAAATCAATCGAATAATACCTGACTTTGACAAGAAATCATCTCCAGAAAGCATAAAACTGATAATGAATTCGAAGGAACATCATGTAAATAAGTTAGTTATGAAGTTTGTTTCCTCCTGCATGAAAATACGTGATTCATTGTTAGTAATGTAACCGAATTTTTTCTAGATTATTATTAGTGCTGTTTTATTTTATATTTTGATTGTCATATACATGCTTTTGCAATACTGTAAAATGATGCGGTCATGCAAATAAAGCAATTTATTATTATTACTATTACTACTAC